GTCATTCTCATTCCCAAAGCCTCCATTTCTTAACGAGTAGCACTGGGAATGAGAATGGAGGAAAACTAAATTTACCACTTTGTTGAACTGTCCTTTAGAAATTTGTTTTAATATTTATGGTGAATATCTATGGGAAAACGGGCTTGCAGCCTGTACTCTTGAATGTAGAGTTCACAAATACTTTTTTACAAGTTCCTAAGTTAGAGTACTTGCAGAGATGAAGGAAACAGGTTATATTGTTGACAAACGTTTTTAGACTTTTTAGGGATAGACCGTATGTTTCTGAAGCGCAGACAGGTTGGGAAATTACCAAATTACCAAATGTTTACTTTCTGTAATCATATCAAGGCTTAAAAATAAAGAATTAAAATTATTTGCTAACCACAAATGTCGAAATTGAGTGCCTTCTCTTTGTGTTTTCCTCAAAATTCATTGACAGATCTGTTGGTTTTAATTTTTCCTACTCCAAGTCGGGATGCAGCCACTTTTGAAGTCTGACCTTGGCAAGACTAATATTCAACCTCTGCACTTATAAAATTTGCCTGGTGTAGATGGGCCCCAATTGAATAAAACTACTTTACAATAGGCACCTTCTTTACATATGGTTCATTTTTCTCTAAAATGAAAATTTGGCACAGAATTTCTAAACTTAGGTTTGTTCTTATACATGTAGTCTACAGTTGATAAAGGAAAAGATTTAACAGAAAATGTCTGTCTTTGAGGTGTACGTACTTTTTTCACGAGCAATATTTAAAAACGTATTATAGCTTGCTCCATGGATATCATGTTAAGTACTTCACTACTAAGAAAATTATTATACAAGTAACTATCATTCCTCCAAACACAATCCATTTGTCCTGTTGAGGGAAAAAAACAGAAAGCTCTGATCAGTTTATTTCAGATAAATGTATTTTATTTATTTATTTTTTATTTTGTATTCCTCCAATTCCTAGCTAATACAGAGATGTGTAAATATAACATAAAGAAAATAAATAGTAACCGATAGTGCTTTGTAAGGAAGAAAAAAAAAATGCATAAAACAGAAATTACATCACTTGAATTGAATAGAAGATTGAACAGAAGATATCTGTTGTGGTTGAACATTATACTTAGTACAATTGGTACTTTCATTTGTTTTATGCATATTTGATATACTTTATACCCACATTGAACATATCAAAACAATACAATCATGTACAAAAGTTGTTGAGACACATGAAAATTACCATCCCTTTTACCCTAGGGGTAAATTTTCCTCTCTCCCCTCGTGAAAGGTAGCCCCTCCTTCCCCCTTTGTCAATGTTGGAAACAAATAAACATCAACAAAGTGTTTTGCAACATTGTTTGGGGGAAGGGGGGTGACTATAGATGAAAAAGGTGTTTTCATTCAAAAGCAAAGTATTATTGTTAGTTTGAAAGCATTAGTTTGGCTAAAATGTCTCAACACTTCTGTCCATGATTGTAGATATATAATATATCACTTAATTGCTAACACACTTACCTGGGTAGCTCTCTTGTCAATCAATCTCATAACAGTATTGGAAAGGCCAAGAGTGCTGGCAATATCTAATATTCTCTTGTGAGCTCCCTGTTGATAATCACAAATTTAAGTCTCTGTTATCACTTACATTAGAATCACCATTAACAACAGGAGTCAACTATTGATGTTGGAAACATGTGATTGGGATGTCGTCCTTGAAATCAAAGGCTCATGAATGATTCACATCAATCAACATTTTCATTTGCCCATCTCAGCAATACTCTTCATCCAATCACACATGAGTCTTGAGTGGTGAATGGAAATTGGAGAAATTGAATGGTAACACCAATGTATCTAGTATTAGCCCCAGGCATTCCTAGAGTTGAAAAGAACCAGAGAATAAGAGATGGAGTGCCAGAAATATCAAGACAATGAGACCCTTAAAATACCTGCCTGTCCAGTAAAAAAGGCCGTTTTCAAGTTACCTTTTGCCTCATGTGTCAAAACGAGTCTTTGTGCAAAACTGTTCATATGAAAATATGTTTGCCCTACAGGTTCACTTTCATGCAAATCATCGACAATCTCATTTTCATCTAAAAGGTTTTACATGAAGACTCCTTTTGAAACAGAGGCACAAGGCAACTCGGAAATGATCTATTCTCTTGTTTGTTTGTTGGTTTTTTGTTTTAATAAAACCATTCCCCACCCCTCACCCAGTGTGTTCATATGAAAGTAACCATAGCAATAATGAACATACTTTTAAGGTGAGACGCTGATCTCGTAAGCTTGTCAAAATACTGGACCCACTGGACAATAAATCACTTATTCCTCTGTCAGCATTTTGAAGGGAAGTGTTGTGTTGTAGGGCATGGTCTATCATGATAGATGTTTCACCACTATTCTGAAAATGAAAAATCAAANGAGTAATACAACCAGTGACGTCACTAGGCTGTTTTGGCCGCGCCAAGATGGCCGCCAATTTTGGGCTTAACCAGCCAACTTCGAACGGCTGAAAAAGCCGTATGCGAAAAAAAAGTCCGCAGTGTTTCCAAGTAAGGTTGAAACATTGTTACTAAGCAAAAATCTCACATATGAAAATTTCGTTTCAGTGGCACTTTAATGAACTGAAAACAAACTAATCACCACATACCCTCATCATTTTACGCTGCTGGTAATTGTTGAAGCCTGTCTTCAGGTGTCTTAAATCATATGTTAGTTGGTCCACTTTTCTGTTATAAATTTAAAAATGAGGTATTTCAATTCAATGTCAGACATTCTGTGAGTCAAATTGTTTTGGAGCACTTAATCCTGTAACAGGCTACTTACATCCTCGCGCTCTGTTTCTTCTGTGGTGGCTCCTTGTTAATGAGGATGGTCAGACGATCACAGTTGGATGAGACCTTCTCCAGGTTTTGTTCTATTTCCTGTTCAATGGCTGTATGTGCAGAGACAAGCAAATTACTTAGGGATCCACTTTTAATATGTTTTAAGTCTACTTTAATTTACCTTGTTCCAGGCATTGAGTTTAGTTGAAGAACAGGACAAATATGGCAAGAGGAAAACTAAGGGGGAGGGGAGGGGGTTGGGATGAAGAGCAATACAATGCCTATAAGCTTCTTCCCATACCATTATTTGACTGCTAGCTGTACATGTAAACTGGTTCATTGGAGCACCACTATTCTGCTAAGCCGAGTGCTCTTCAGGCTAACAGGACACTATTGAGGATAACTGTGAGATTCAAATTTGGGCTATCTGGGTGCTTTTACACAACCCTTTAAGGAATTTCTCTGTAATAAAGGCCCCTTTGGGGTAAAAATGCGACATATGTCACTGAGTGGAAATGGTGACATGCAGGCCAATAAAATGACGATCAAATGACATGACTTGTGTTCAAATTCTGACTGTGAGGGCAGGTGAATGATCCTGCAAATTTTCAACAAATTTAATATTTCACAGCTTGTGCAGTCTCATGTTTTGAGTGGTTATGTGCATCTTCTAGCAGAGATTTTTCCAGAAAAGCTGTTTTGGCATCTTGTCTTTCTGTCAGCATAAGAATTATCTCAAAGTCCCAAATTGCTTGTTTTTAAAAATGACATCTACGTCTGGGAGTCAGAAGGTCTCTTCGTCACATTTATAACACTTTAGTATCTCAGTATCTCAGTATGTCTCAGTATCATAATTTAAAAAGGCAAAACATCTCGTCTTGCCTTCTCGCAATGCTTGCCTTTTTCATTCACCACATTTACAGTAATGTGAAAAAAACCTCCAAAATAGTAATGACAAAAAGTTTGAATGTCAGACGGGGACAAGTCTGTATGTAACCAGTCTCTGGCAGGGACTTGTAAAGTGTACGGCTGTGAATTTCTGACTGTTGATCATCTAGTCTGCTTAAAACATTGACCAGCTGCCAGATATCTAAACACCATTTTTTAAAATTGAATTAGAAATGTAAGCTTAATCTTCACAGCTTAACTAATTACACTTATTCTAAAAGAGCAAATTATTACCATTCAGTGAATCCGGATGCGCAGTGCTGAGTTTACTTAGCAGTCCCTGAACTCCAACGATAAGCCTTAAAGAAAAAATTAAATTAGGTTTTAAGTAACAATCGATTAAAGCTTAAAACCATATTGAAACTTGTCCGTGACAGCAGCAAAAAACTTAAACAGCACCCAAAAAAACAACTCACCGATTTGTCTCCTGATAAAGGTTATCCATCTTTGAACACTCTAGTAATTTTCTGATTGAATTCCTCGCGATCTAAACAAGCTATGAGTACAAAATTCTCTCTGTTATACAAATTCAACTGTACGTATCTCCGCCATGTTGTTTTCATATCATTTCCGCTGACATGGGACGGACTGACGAGACATGGGACACGTCATAAACTCGCTCCAGTCTCTCTCCCCTGGGACGCAAATTGAATTTGCATTGCAAATATTCGCTCCTTCTTCACCATCTTTGCTCGAGGTCATTGAAAGCTTCTTCCTTCAAACCTTTACCTAATGCTGTGTCTTCGAAGTGTCTACATTTCAAGAAATGTTCCCAAACATCTCCCAGACTCAACTTTTCCTGATGGAACAACTGGAGGGAAATTCGCTTAAAATAGCAAGATGTAAACTTTGGCCATATTCGGTATGTACA